TATTATAATGACTCTAGAGAGAGAGAGAGAGAGAGTCTTTGATGTTATGTATTGTATGACACAGAAATATAGAAGATTGAATGTAAAAGCGCAAAATCTTTTTCTCCTTGGGATTTCTCTGACATCACTGCGCACCAACGCATCCGGCGTGTGAGAATCATTTATCTAATCAATTCCTTTTTCAAAAATATAAAATATGTTATAACATATTTCTGAGAAAAACTTATCTTAGACATCTTTATTATTATAACAGAAAAAAATTAACCATAAACTTAAATTAGAAGACGATGTGAAATATACAATAAAGATAAAATATGTAAATATATATTATCCACATGTAGGCGAAATATGCAAAAATATGCTCTTATGTGTGAAATATACAACATATAGGGCTCAAAATGCATAATTTTTTATAAAACAAATTTGTATTTAGTTTATTTCTTTATTAGTCAAATAAAAAAAAAACATGCCCTATACATATTTTGATTGCCCTAATTATTAATATTATTTGATATATTATTATTAGTATTATTCGAGTTTATGCGTATATGCTCGCACACATAAATAATACACATACTAATAATAAAATTATATTTATTTGATAAATTGGTAATAGTATAATGTATTTGTGTAGTATAATATAAATATAATGTATTAGTATAAAACTGTGTAATATAATGTATGTGTGTGGATTAGTGCATATATGTGTATGTGTCACATACGTATATACAGGGTGTTCCACCCTTAAGACCGGCCACCCGAATAACACCCACAGTTTTAAAGAGGAAGAAATGCTTGAAATAAAAATTGTTTGGTTTCGAGAGGGGCATCGTATGATGATGAACATTTTTTCTCAGGTGGAGGCGCCTAGAAGATTTGAAGGTCAACTTCATTTTTTTAAATGGAATTATATGAATTTTTTTATATAATATGATTCCTCTAATTATTCTGCATATAAAAGTATTAAGGTAGCAATATAAAAAAAACAGTAGTTTACGAGATATTTTATACTTTATTGTGACACATATTGACGTAAAATGTTAAATAATTCGTAAACTATTAATAACTATTAATAATCCTATAATAACTATTAATAACTATTAATAATCCTACCTTAATACTTTTATGAACAGAATAATGAGATGAATCAATTGATGGAAGGAAAACACAGTTACTTTAAAAAAAATGTATCCAACAAAATAGATAATTTTTTAAATAAGCAACTATTGTGTGTTTTCTTTCCACCAATTGATTCATCAATTGGTGGAAGCATTGCATAAAGGCGCGTTAACAAATAAGCGCCAAATAAGTTTTAAAAATTAATTCTCCATTTTTAATACCAATTCCGTATGTTAGTTTTTTTGTTAGATTTAATTTCTTTCAACACGTGTATTGTATATCAATTTACAGATATCGTATTACAAAATCTGAAATCATTGATTGGACCAAATAGTTGTTTATTTTCCGGTGCTACAAAAATCTTTCAGCATATACGAATCCACACCAAATCATTTTAACATCAGAGTCATACTATTTTTCTAGGACGGAAACGTGAAAAATGAAAAATTTCTCCATTAACTTTAATGGAAAAAATTGTCACTTTTTACATTTTTGTCTTTTAGGAAAAAAGTTACATGTTCAATATAGAATTAAAGTATAAAAAATTGTGCCTTCTCTAAAAGATATTTGAAAAAACATTTTTTTAAATATCTTGTTTAAAAAATTATAATAAATAAAAAATATTTAAACGGCGGCAATTCTCTTTGCCACAAAGACGCCTTATAGGTGGACTATAGCTTAATCATTTAATGCATTTACATGATTGACTTTCGATTTCCATTTAGCATGTCATTTTTTTGCAATAATACACATGACTTATTTTATTGTCGGGTATATAGCATGCAGAACCCAAATCGCAGGTCGCACAAAGTTGAGTGAACTTCAACTTTCGCGTCCTGCTTCCTGCGTCTTGCGATTTGCATCTTACAACCGAAAATATGTCGCATATGTCACGCTATATCTAATCTTGCAACCTGTGACCCGCGTTTAGCATGCTCTATAAATCCAGCTTAAAACGTGAATAAGCCACGTGTACGACTGCGAAAAAAAACGTGATAAATGGAAACCAATTACACAATTACACAAATGCCATAATGATTAAATGACATTAAAAAAGACATTAAAAATTGTAATAAGAAGCTTATAAATTAAAATCGTGATAAATCATAAATTAACATTGTATTCACATGAAGTTGCGCTAAGTTATTATTTTGATAATAATATAACAACAATTAATAACAATGAAAGATGTAATAAAAGATAAACTTTGTGTTACTAACGTTTCTATATATATATATATATATATATATATGAACATATATATGAACATATATATGTATATGTACACAATATATGTGTGTACGTTTCTACAAATATATATTTACACGTTTCATAAAAATTAAACACAAAAAAAAATTGTATTTAAATATAATTAGTGTTCGAAGTTCAATTATTGCATATTTTAAACTAATGCGTGATTAAATACGCGTTTAAATATTACACAAATCACGAATCAAAACACATTCAATGTCACTTAATATTTTTTATTAACAGCACGTAAAGGATATATCGTACAATCTTTACGAAAGATCATTAATAGCATTCGTAAAGAATAAAAAATAAGGGAATTTAGTCAATTATATAAACTCATTCTCAATATTGTATGCATATCATGACTTGTTCTCGACAAAATTGAGTAATCATTCTTGATAAGCACACAAAATACACAAACTGCACTCAATCATAAAAATCATTAAAATCAAGTATTATTGCGTAAATACAAAATAATATTCAAAAATAATTAGATTAATTTAATTTCTTTAATTTACTCAATGTATTAATTAATTAAATTTGTTCACCAGTTTTTACACATAAAACAAAGTATGTGTTTAACTTAACCTTTAGTTAGTCACATGAAAATATATATGCTATTAAACAAATTAACTTGGGGCTATCCCGCGAAACTAATTAAAGATTAATTTTTTTAAATAATTTTTAATTAAATATTAAAAAATTTATTTTCTCTCTAAATATTCTTTACACAAAAAAAAAAGATATTTTTGACATCAATATTTTACATTAAAAGTTAATATGTCGAAACTATAATTCAATATTTTTAAAAATTATCAGTGATACGAAAATGTAATGTAAAATGTAAAAATAAAATGTATAATGGTAATAAGGCTCAACAAATTTAAAATAAATGGGTAATAGAGCTACAAGCGAAGGTTAATATACATGGTCAAAATTAAAAAATAAAATTAAAAATAAAATAAACATACAATAACTTTAATCTAAATGCCGGCAATAACAAACGTTTCGATCCGCATCGGATCATTCTCAATGTTAGAATTGAACAATATAAAATTAAAAATTAGAATTCAGTAACTTCCCTCTCATCTCGCAGTACCTCCGCCAACATAATTGGTACGATGTGGAATCAGCAATGTGAATATCCAATTATGTGTAATGTATGATTTCTGTTAAACATAGGTCATACAAATAAGTCGGTAATATAAAACGAGAGACAGTCATACAAGATACAATCGGTGATATAAAATATAAGATGAAAATTACAACAGTCATACATAAACGGCAATCGGTAATATATATAAGCACTATGATAAAGTTAATAATATAAAGTCAGTAATATAGTCAATAATATAAAAATGATAATCGGTAATATAATAAACCAATATACAACGAGATAAAATCAAAAATATAAACCAGAAATATGAATTAATACAAGTTGTAATATATGCGGAGAACATTGACAATAGAAAATAATAAATAATAAGTAAGTGAATAAAATTATGAATACCTTCATGTAGATCATAATCAGACTAATGCGAGGAGAGTTAAAAATCTTGTCTTTATTCGTTCGTGTACTCAGACATTATAGACATTGGAAACAAGAAGATAGACATTGTAAATTAAAAGAAAGGAGAGCATAGGAAGGGGAAAAACAGAACAGACAAAGAAACGATAGAGGAGAGGGAGCATACAAAAAGAGAGAAGGAGTAAAAATAAAAATCTTTTTTTAATCAACATTTCGTCAATGCTGCATTATAATTAACTGTTGGAACATAATTTTCTGATTTATAAAAAAACCAAGAAAAAATAATTAATCCAAGTAGAACAAAGGCGTTGAGAAACGGTTGAAAAAATGTTTTTCCATAACGTTGAGTAACGGTTACAAGTGTCCATGAAGATTAATATTTCATGCATAATCAGCTCGTAATAAATGACATAAAATTTTTGGAATAATATGTGCTCTCTTGAATTGAGTAATGTGGAATTTTCTAAAAATATTATAGACATAAATATATATTACGTTTCAATATTGTATTCTCTTTCTAACAGAGCACAGAGACAAGATCAGTAGAGATAGAGAATCATCTATTACGTCTATGAAAAATACTTTCTCTTAAAAATAAACAAGTTTCAAAAAATAACATTAAATCAAAATGTACACATATTATTCCAAACTCGATCGGAATTTTCTTCTGTGATAAATCGAAGATCGCAAAACCGCAAATTATATAAAAAGTAATTCCATTTACATCGAATTGCCATACATCTTCTTCAAAATGTAAATGAGTATTAATTGTAATTTAATTTCTATCAATCGTAGCTGTCATATAAAAAAATACAGAGGTATATGTATCAGTGGAAATAATTTATGCTTTGTGCGCAAATCGTAAATTATTTCCACTGATACATATACCTCTGTATTCTTTTATATGGCAGCTACGATTAGGGGTATCATCGATTTGGGAGGAACTTGGACAAATCACCGTTGAGAGGGGCAGTAACAAAACCGCATGAATGAACGAAGCGTCTTCATTTTACTTTTCTTCTCCATGGGGATGATAATTAAAGCGCGACGGAATGTGCGTAACCTATATGATATGCTCATGGAGGTGTTCGATCGTAAGAGATATAAGGCCCCGTGATGGCCGTGCGGCCTCAGTTTGTCGACTGGTGCCTCGCGAAAGAGGTACTCACACCCGCACGTTCTCGTACCTCAATATAATCCTTTTATCTTATCCTTTCTTCCCTTTCTTTTCTTTTTTTCGCGAATACATCGCGATACATGGCCACACTCGCGAATTCAGTCCCGTTTTTACAGTGAAACTTTTGCACGCGTTTGTTTCGCACCAGGAGGATTTCATAACAATTGAAGCACCCGAAGAATAGCACAGTAAGTATTAGCATAATTTTACGTGCGTCGCGTGTAAATTGTTGTTATCATCGCATAGTTACGTAATTCTTTATCTATGAAGCCATTTCAGTTAGATCTATGTTAGAAAATTGTTAGTTCATAGTTAAATGATTTGTTGAAATACCTAAAAGTTTAACTAGATACAGATCTGAAAATAATTTTGTTGGACCATCAAAATTGTAGAAAATTCAAGCACTGAATAGGTAATGTAAAAAAGTTTGACATTCTAGCAATTAGATTGAGCGACCTACATAATTATTTTGATTATCCGACAATTATTTTCAGAATTGTATCTAATTAAATTTGTAGACACTTTTAAAAAAATCACTCTTCCCATGTATAAAATATTTCTCGTGACGTAGATCATGATCGTGACTATTATCTTTTTATATATATATATATATTTACAAATTATAAGATTATACTTGACGAAAGATTTTAACAAGGTATTAATATCAATCACGTAGCAAGATTGATATGAAAGAAAATTAATGCATACGTGCGATATTACGTTTTAATTCATCATATGATACTCGAGTTATGCAGACAAACAGTAAATTATTCTTGAATGTATTAATTAATATATTGAGTGTGCGTGTAATACGAATATTATGGATCCTCGACTCTGTAATAAACTGTTCATGTTTTATTTGCATTTTCGCTTATATAAGGCGTAATAAACAGTAAATTAAATAAAATGAATCATACAGCACATTTTATATCTAAGGAACGTCTTAGAACGTTTTTGAGACATAGGGAAATTCTTTGAATGGCTTTAGAACGTTTCTCGAAATGTGCTATATGAGTATATTATACTTGAAAAAAATTACATTGACTGTAAGAGATTACATTTTTACAAGTCTCTTTAGGATTAATATTCTTATTTTCAGCATTATTCAAAACAATTATTTCGCTTTATAAATATATAAAAAAATATTAATTTTTTTATTGATAAAGTTAATATAAATAAAGCGCTTATATAATAAATTACGTTTAAAAAATAAATAAAATTTGCATTAAACAAAAAGATGTAATCCACGTAAAAAATTTATATTTACAATGTAAAAAATGTATAAGCGGCGGAATTCATGAAACAATATGTTTCTCGTAAAGCCTTTGTCAATGTGTAAATCCATTTTTGCTGGATAATAGATACATATAGAGATATGAAAAGGGATATATACGTGCGCAAAAAATTAAGTACCGATATTATATATACATATATATATATGGACTTTAATTGAATTGCATATAGTTAAAAATATATAAGTAACAAAGACAAAAAATGAGCATGATCAGTGAATTTCTTCATGTGTGTGTATTCAATATTGTACTATTATTCATATTAAAGACACAGAGCATGACTACGTAATTCGTGTGTTTACAACAATTGATCTACAAAAATGAGACAGATGGAGTCCGAAGACGTAGAAATCTAGATATATACATATACCAAAGTAGAGCAAAGATCCGCCATGTTTGATTCGAAATAGCCATTAGGACAGTTGTCGGCATTTCGGCTCAGATCAAAGAAATGCGCCACTTTATTAATATAGAGCTTTAGGTATACCTGGAGCTCTAGCGAAGACGACTAGTCTCTGTCTCTTTCTATTCAACGATGTAATGTCGTTGACATTAAGAAAAAAAGGAAAATTAATTGTCTTCATACTCTCTCCCTCTCTCATTTTTGTACACTATTTATGGATACAGATGACAAAATCAATGCTCTATGATTCATATTAATAATACTGATCCTTAATTCTATCTAGTATAATTAATGTCTTAAAAATTTCATTCATAATATATTGACACTACTTAATTAATTTCCACTCATTCGTTGACGTTTGAGACTGACATGAAACTGCAATTTATTGTTTTGACACTTGTTTTACCTTTCCTCTCGAGGATTTGTATTTACTTTATTCTTTGAATTAATCGATTCTGAATATTATGCTTTATCACTTGACTCAACACAATGGATCTTACCCAGTGAGAAATGACAAGGGAATCGACATTGAATCAACATCGATTCGATGTCGAAATCATCAAATTGATGTCGAATTGACGTAAATTCCTTGTCATTTCTCACTAGGTATTGTTTGACTATACTTTTTGTAACTATTGAACGATGAAATAGTTTTTTGGATGGAATTATGAACTTCTCTGACTTATACGAAAAATATATACTTTAATGTAATCTTTATATATCTTTATATATCTTTAATATATCTTTATATAATGTAATTTAAGTGTCCAACTTATGTGGCTCCTTTGTCAGTTTTACAGTTTATTATTTTATTTAAATCATACAAATATTCTACAGTCTACACTCTTAAATCTATAGTGTCAAATTTAACCTAACGCGAGTCGCCATTGCTCCTACTCAATTATTTTGTTATTTTATACTAAAACAATAATTATATTTGACACTATACAGTACCAAATTTATTATAATCTAATGTGAGTCACCACTGCTCCTATGAATATATCATTATTTTATACTAAATTAAGTCTATGATTAATTTTTTTCTGATATAATAATAAATAGGATTTCTAAGATAAGTTTTTCTCAATTAAAAATATGTAACATATTTTATATTTTTGAAAAAGGAATTGATTAGATAAATGATTCCCACACGCCGCGATGCATTGGTGCGCAGTGATGTCAGAGAAATCCTAAGGAGAAAAAGATTTTACGTTTAATCTTCTATATTTCTGTCTCATACAATACATAACATCAAAGACTCTCTCTCTCTCTCTCTCTCTCTCTCGTCATTATAATAAATAATATGTATTTGTTTAATTTTACTGCCCCGTAAGACTAATTAAATTTTAAAAAAATGTAAATAAATTTTATCAAATTCATTTTACTTTGTTATTATAAGTAAAAAACTTAATTAATAATTTGAAAGTTTGTGCGATAAAAAGTAATTTTCAAATACATATATTCCTTTCTTTAGAGCATCTTTTCAATTTCACAGAGCATATTTTAGGCGCTTAAAAAGGGATTTTTACAGCATAATTTTGGTTGCCTTAGATATGAGTATGATGGCTGACTTTTGTTGAACATTGAAGAGAGAAATGCCGGCGAAAAAAAACAAGCGCAAGAGGAATCCATTACATAGCGCGCACAAACATAAATCGATTTTTTTTTTTAGATATTCACAGGTACAACGATAGAGATGTAATGTACGAGCAGTTATTGTGTCTGATGGCTGCTTGCCTGAAAGTTTGTCTGTGGTGTAACTCCTCGGGAATTATTAGGTTTAAACTGTGTCTGTAATGTGAGGCACTCAGAGTTCATCGCTAGAAGTTATGCAAGAGGTGTAGAGGACGTAGATACGGAGGTTGTTGCCACCCCGTCAATTGAGATATCAAAGGTTGATTTTTGTAATAGCATAATATTCCAGAGCGTTCAGTACAGTATTTCTTGACGGCTGATAAGTATTTCTCAACTCGGGAAACATGTGGTCTAGGTTTAATCAAAAATTTTTTGCCAATGGTCTTAGAATATATCAATAAAAGCAGAGATTTCGAGGTTTTTGACCCATTTTTTCGTTCTAGATTGAAAATTTACCCTGGATGGTCCTATTTTGATGTTAGATTCGTATTCAGCGATTCAAAATACATAAGAATAGCTGGGTCTCCACCCCAGCACATAGTACTTTTTTTTCTGTGGGTCTGTGTAATTATATTATTAATTATAATTATTAATTATAATTATTAATAATTATAATTAATAATTATATTTAATTAAATATGATCGATTAATAATTGTATTTAATTATTTTAAATATCACACACAAAACTTCTTTCAAATCAAATTGTAGATGTAGCTACTTTAAGGCTTTTTTAGAAGAGTGTAACTTTTGCTCATAATACTTTTTAATGCATATTTTCTAATAAAAAAATTATCTTTCAAGTTTCAACAACATGTATATGTTATACACAATTATATGAATAAATTGCATCTGGTTTAGAAAGAATTAAATAATTTAATTGTTATTCAATTAATTTCAATCGATTACTGCTGAAAGTTCAATATTATTCAAATATATTCTCTTATTTCAAGATTGACTTTTAATCTCTGAAAAGTCGTACTTTGTCCTGAGTGCGAACAGAACTCGTTCGTCCTTCATTGAATTTTTCTCTTCGAGTCATTAACGCGCTTGAAAAAATATTATTTTTCGTTCCTTAAGGTCGAGCGAATTCCTTTGCCTGAGCATAAGAACGTCATATATAATTAAAGTAAATTAAAGTAAGTGTGTCCGTATGGACGCACATGCAGGCATGCGCACGTGTTATACGACATTATTGAGGGCATATGCCGTAAGAACTGCTCAAAGGCGTCGCAGCTTACTTTCGTTATCAAATAAATGCGAGAGGATGCACCTGACTCGTCAAGCAAATGACAGTCTTAAGAAAGCGACACGATTCGAATTGCATCACAAATCGAGTGCGGAGCTTTAAATCGCAAATCCGTTATTTCTTTTCTTTCATACGTCATTTAAAGTCCTCGTCATTATTTAAAAATAAACACCGTGAAATTTTATTGAAATGCGAGTTCAATAAAACGTTTCTTCGGCATGAATGACAAAGAAGAAAATCCCTGGCTAAGCATGTGTGTGGCACAAAAAGAATGCAGTTATGGCATCGATGACGATGTCACGGAAATTCCGCGTTGATTACTGTATTTTTCAAAATGATTTACAATCGTATGTTAAAACATGTCTATAAATTTTGTTACGCATCTTGCCGACTCGCAACAAGAGGAATTATTCGTACAATTGAACAAACAAATGTTAGAATACACATAATTATCCAGAAAATTGGCAGTAACGTTATATCGTCGATCGCGGAAAGTATTCTGAGACGTTTTGTGAATCAAAGTATTTTTCGATAAAGGAGTCTAACGGTAGTATTTCTTACAGTAGTGATCACTTATTATACAACGTAAGGGCAACTCATAATCAAGGAATTCGTTAATATTATACTCGCGAAGAAAGTGAGATCGTAAGTTGCAAGAAAATCACTCTACGTCGTGAGATGTGATTATACAAACTCTTATAGTATCTGTGATTGCTTTAATGCACGTTACTACGACTTTGTGTAACACACACATCCCTTCCTAATATACTTTTACGAGATATAAGAAAGGAGAAAAATCATCTGTGCGCTCGTGATTGATTACAGTTAATATTCAAGGAAAGAAAAGGCATATTTTAATTCTCGATAGAGGATCAAGCATATGTATTCTATGATCTAAGAGAGTACACGTGCTTGATGCATCCAGTTATTCTACGTATCAAATAATTAAAAACCTACGTAATTAGAGACTTCCAAGTTTTTTTTATCGCTGTTATCGAAATGTGCAGTCGGACGTCACATCCGCACTGAGAAAAAAAGTTGTCATTTCAAAAAAAATTAGTTATTCAACTAAATACAACGGTATCACGGACTATCAAGCGAATATTTATTAATTTAAACAAATATATATTAATTCAAACAAATAACATGTTGACATTTCTCACGTATATTTTATTTAAATATATATAAATACTTGAACTGAATAATCACTAAACGCATTTAATCAAGTTAACAACGTTTTGATTGAGCATCAAATTATTAAAATTGCCTGTCAATTTAATTCGTGATATTACTACAGTAGTTTAATTGCGTCTATAAGTCGAAAAACCAATTCAGCGGGCAGTTCGAATGACTACAAATATGGCATATATATCAGGGCTGGGTATTTTTGCATTTAAAATGCCATTTAAGATGTAATTCTATTTAAAATGCTAAATGTAAAATACTTAAAAAAATATATATTAAAATATATGTAGGAAAAACCATTCTGTATTCGAAAACTGTTTAAAATATATATCTATTTATATCCATTTTACATATAAAGTGGATTCGAAAAACATTTTGCATTTTAAATACATTTTTTTAAGTATTTTATATTTGGCATTTTAAATGATTACCCAGCCCTGTATATATGCATGTACTTATATGGTAATTCAAATTAAATTATTTATTTACTTCTATGTTTTGTTGTTAGTAACTGTTTATCTCACAATCAGTGCAAAGGTATATGCATTTTAAAAACTGCGTTTGAGATTAATCGCAGCGTTGCCGCAGGTGCAAATTGGTTCTTATTAACGAGCCGAAGCGGAGAAGCGGACGGGATTACAAGACGAGTATCGTAAGACTGTAAACGCGTGTGAGGGACCGCATTTTTCCGCAGTGAGAACGAGTTCTCAGTTGCATGTAGTCTTTAACGAGACGGCCACTTTTCCTTTCTGCAACAAGCGCGCGGGTTGCGAAATTCATACGCGGGCTTGAACGAGTCGCACGGTGTCGCCGTTCATCGTTTTTCATCAAGGTAATGGACTTTGTTTTTGTGGAAGTCGCGAATCGCGAAATCAAGGAGCGGATATCGTTTCCGCGCCTTGATCGAGAGATCGGGACGACGATGTAAGAGAAGAGCAACACCGAATGGAGAATGCGAGACTGAGAGAGGGAAATACGCTACGCTGTTTATAAAATGTGACGGATCGAATCGATCATCGCATAGGGAACCAAATCCACTGGTTTCGAAATAAATGCACCAGCAAATGCCAATCACGTGAAGTTACAACAGTAATAAGAATTGTCTTTCTCAACGGACACTAAATTTTTAGCGTTATGGTTATAATTTGCAAAGTTATTTCTTCATAGTAAATAATTAGTTATAGCATTATAATAGTTATTTCTTTATCAGAAATGACAAAGGTCTCTCTCTCTCTCTCTCTCTCTCTCTCTCTCTTTATTTCTTATTTCCGAAACTGATCTCTTGGCAATATCGACGAAGGTATTACTAAATGATCTGTATTACCTATATTACATTTTTCATCTTTTTTAATGACATTACTGTGATTAAAAACCTGATAATTAAATGTCATTTGCTCAATTGAATCATCTTCAAAGTTAGAAAAAAAGTCTTCATCACCGCTAATTGCTATTGATGTCTTGATATTCATCCAAAAGAAAAATATTCAAGTTTGTTCAAAGAATTTGTAATTAGCAGAATACTTATTTGACATCATACCTTGAAAAATATTACTATAATGCAAACAATCAATCAATACTTGTCATAATATTGCTACTGCAGGATCATTATATGTTTAATGTCGGCTTTTATGTCATAGAAACGGAAATCAAATATTGACATATTTAATGTCCAAAGTGTCGTCTGGTGAACATTGTACAACATTAATGAGACGGAATCATTTACAATGCAATATTCACAGAGCATGTGCATAATTAGATGATATTATTCGCAATAATCATTTTGAAATACTATGCTACAAAATAATGATCGTCGAAACAATAACAACTCTTATATAACCAAAAATGAATATAATGAAATATCCTCAACCTCCATGAATTATTTTTACACGCACATTTCTTATCTTCTTTCCTACGCAAATAGATCTCTTTCCGTTTTATTTCTGGAGACAATTTTTTGTAAAAATTATAGACTTATCTACATTCCTCCCACGCGTGATTTATGCATGCTTCTGAATCGCTTGAATAAAGAGTCATGTTTTTTACAAAATTTGTCTCCCCAACCACCGCAATGAATTATAAAAATCAAGAAGTACAACGTCGCCTTTGACGTCAGCATTTTCTCAAGGCTGAAAAATAAGATCCTTATTTGCTACTGGTGAGAGTTAAGATTGCAAGAATAAGAGGGGAGAGCAGCGCAAAGCCACAAAGACAGGTTTCCGTATGGAAAAATCTCTAGTGGTTTTTCGATTTTGATCAGTGAAAGGATTAATGGTTTAATCTTCCGAGGAGGGATGTGGCGCTCCATAGATCCTCGAAACTTCGTTACGATTCAAAAAGTGACAGCATGCGAGCATGCCGCAGATTGAAATCAAGTCGCGTGCCTCGCGATTCAAATCGGGAGTACGTCGAGATGTACAATCCGTTCCGTTCTCATTGTTCGTTTCGCGACATATTTCGAAGGGATAACACTTATCAAAGAAAAATCATAACAGTGTGTAATTAATTTTTATTGTAAGTTTCGATTTACTGTTCTTTCTATGATATGGATAGAAAAGAACAACTAATTTTATCAGGATTTCGATCAAATGTTTCAAATGCGACTGATTTCAAAAATTTCTTGTTCACCAAGTATCTGTTTTTCAAAAATTATTCATATCTTTTTATATCAAACTATACAAAAATTCGATCAATGATCGAGCTCATAAAAGATAAGAAACAAATTTATATAATTAGTACATTTATTAAAATCTAACAGAATATTTCGTAACCACAGGTCCTTCTTTAGCAAATATTAAAATATAAAATATAAAATAAAGACGCAAAGTTTATATTAACACGATTATAAATATAATTAAATCAAACGATAATGAAGAGTCGAAATTCTTGAAAGTTTTGTTCCATGATTTGAAGAACAATAATACAAATTGTATAATTTTTCACAATTTATATCTTTACTACTTGCTGAAGAAGGACTTGCGGCCATGAAACGTTAGATTTAATAAATATACTGATTATAAATTTGTTTCTATATCTTTTTATGAGCTCAATCATCGAATTATTATATAGTTCGCTTTGCGTAATACGAGCGAATTCTTACTTTTCTTTTTACATCATTAAATGCGATCAATAAAAAATTTAAAAGCAGAATTTAATTGAAACCGTTGCGAGCACATAGATACTCTCTCTCTCTCTCTCTCTCTCTTTCTTTTTTTCGTTTAATACAATTTTAAATTGCAAATTTTTTAATACTCAAAACATTTTAAATTACAAATTTTTTAATATTCAAAACATTTTAAATCTTCTTTAATTATCTATAATAAACAATAAACATCATATTTTTAACAAAACGACTCATCAACGACTATCAATCATGTAATATAAAGAAATGTATTCTAATGTTTGTATATTTCCTAGTTTTGCAACATGCGTTGTTATAAAAACACGCATGTTATTTAAATCATACACTTAAATCTCGTTGCTCAAGCAATAAATACAGTTTATCACGATATCTATAATAATTGACCGTAGTTTCTTATATAATAACGTCAATTGAACTATAACAACACTGTTTTTCTTTAGCATAAAACATCATTAATTTTGTAACTAGACAGAATGATATAAAGCGCATTATACCATAATTACAAATGACTTTGCTGTAATAAGATTGAATTAACATAACAGTGACAAAAGTATTACTTTGATTTTAGATGGCGCAATTAGTTCAAATGATTTATGATGGTTACCGAGATCTGATGGACAACAAAAGCGATCCGAGAGTCAACGATTGGCCGATGATGAGCGGCCCGTTCCCCACATTAGTGATCTGTTTGTTCTACGCCTATTTCGTTAAAGTTTTGGGGCCAAAACTGATGGAAAATCGAAAACCTTTTAATCTCAGAAGAGTGATGATATGGTACAATCTCTTTCAAGTAATGTTCTCCATATGGTTGTTCCATGAAGTAAGTTACCCACAGTAAGTCTATATATTCATGCAAAAACATTTCATCAAGATATTTTATTATGTTTTCTCTCATGTGCGCAGAGCCTGATCGCGGGCTGGGGAGGACGATATTCCTTCAGATGTCAGCCAGTCGATTATTCAAACGACCCGATTGCGCTGCGAATGGCACAAGGTTGCTGGTGGTATTACATCTCAAAGTTCATGGAGTTCACGGACACAATTTTCTTTGTATTGAGAAAAAAGGACGATCACCTTACCACTCTCCATGTCATCCATCACGGTTGCATGCCCATGTCAGTTTGGTTCGGAGTTAAATTTACCCCTGGTAAGCATATGCAGTTTCTATCTTCTATTTACAAAACACAATCAATTAATATTAATTTTCATCAAATTTTCGAGTTTATATGTGAAATTTTATTATATAAAAAAATCATATTTTATTCTGCAAATATGTGAAATGTAAATTAAAACTTAGCGATATTAATTTGATATTTATTATAATTATAAAAAACTTTTCAATCTTTCGTCACTATACTGATTGCTAAGGATGCACCGGATATCCGGAAAGTATTCAGTATCCAGTATTATCCGGCACTTTTTTACTATCCGACCAAATAGCCGGATATCATTAGTATCCGAGAATATATCCGGTTGAAATTTTATATCATTAAACTGTTGATTTGTTATTACGTACATGTTTTAGAAAGGAGTATGCATATTCATAATCCATATTAATATCGTATATATCGTAAAATTACAATTTTTTCTCTATAGCCCTTCTTCTGTTTTTTCTTTTTTTTGGAAGTTTCTCGAAATCTGGTCGGATATCCGGAAAATGTCGGATATAAGAGAAATTTATTAGAATATTAACATAATAGTAAACGTTTAGACTTTGTGTTTTTTAAGTCATTAATACAATTTTAATAACGGTTTAAAATGTCAAATTAAAATAACTCTCGTCAAAAATATAGCAGAAACTTAAGATTGATTCTTCGAAATGGTCTCGATGATTGATTACGTTATCATTCAAATGGTTCTCACTACAAGAAAAATTTTCTTTCTCGATAAACCTATTGTTTCAACAGATTCTGAAATATTAAAATGTAATACTATTAAGAATATATGAATTACGTGTATTTCTTTAATTATTATTAATTATTTATGAGAAACTGTTTAAAACTTAAAGTGTGCCATTAAATTTAAAATAATGTAAACAACAAGAAAAATATATGTAGAAAATATTTCGATTTTTCGCAATTACTAACCAACATCAACCCTGTTTAATTAAGGTATATTTGTACTCATTATTACAAAAGAGTGCACAAAAACCAAAGTAGCACTTAGTAGCAGTTGGTTTTTGTTTATTTTGTTAAATAACAATATAAACTACAATATAAAACAACTTTCATTACAGAACTCTGCAGAACTTATAACTTTTTTTCTATGTCTTTTAAATTTTCACATGTAATTTTACGTTAAATTTCATTACGAATATCTGTACATTGTTATTTTCTTTGCTGTTAATATGGTTTGTGTAATAGATGTTAATATTCCACTAACTATTTACAGAAGGCTAGTATTAAAAATATAGTGTTCCATTTAAAAAAATCGACCTTAACCTGACCTTAACGACGCCATCCAAGATCAAATCAATGATACCTTCTTATGTCTCCCTCCGAACTATACAACTTTTGTTTGAAATATATTTCCGTATTTACCATAGTTTTCGAGAAATCTTAAGGGAATGCTAAAGTCGTCCTACTTTACCATCATTTCCATTCGGGGAAAAATTTCCGAATTGGATTTACGGATTGCAAAATTATTATTACAGAATTATTATTACAGAATTAAAGCACGCACAAACAGGACCTCAGCTGCACTGAATTTTATGAAAAAATCGAAAAAAAGTTAAAAAAATTCACTTTTGACACTTATAGCTGTCACCTCGAGTATATATTTGCTTGATATAAGAGTTTTATAGTCTATATCTTGAAAATATGCGCACAGCTGAGGTCACATTACTGAGACAAACGATACCGAGTTTGTAGAACTAAGATTGAAAGTCTAGAAGGAAAGTATTTTCACCGAATAGAAAATACGTGTAAAACTTGATATTTTGAAAATATTAGTAATTAAATTTAAAGTAATAAAAACATTTTTATTACTTTAAACTTAACTTATTTACATTTAGATATACATAACATAATATATATATATCATATATATATATATATGAACATATATGGATATATGAGTCGTTTACAGGTCAAAGTCATTAATTTCACTTTTTGAATCATAAAATTTTAGAGCCAAAATATCAATCAAGTTGGCATTAAAATTTTTTGAAATTCAAAAAATAGAATTACACACTTTGGCCTGTATATGGCTTATATAATACATGTATGTACATAATACATTCTGAACGCGTACTTGCAATATCAGAAATACGTATCAAACATTTAATTTACGTATTTAATGCAGAAAAAATATATATTGTCATATATATATATTTGATATGTAATGTAAATTACGTATCTATAACACGGAAATTCATCGGTATTAAATACGATACATCTATATCTGATACATGATTTACACGCATTGCTACGAATCTACTATATAGCTATAACATTACAAACTTTTTGTATCAAATAAGTAAGTAAATTACGTATCTATAGGCGGACATTTATCCGTATTAAACATGTATCTGGTATATGATTCATACATATTGCTATGTATCTGCTATATAGCAACATTTCAAGTTTCATGTATCTGCTATGTATTTGAAATCTAAAATGTTGTGCAGGTAGTTACAAATAGTCGGGTGAATGTTGTCTCACTAATTTTAAATTAGAATATGTACAATTACAGCCCATAAACAAAAACAGCGTCAATTATCCTAATAAAGTATTATTTGTGTTATAATAACAATATGGAACTTATTTAACATTGGAAATTGAAGTATAGTATAAAATAGCGTTCAAATAACTGTGAACGGTAGTGTTTATCGACACTTTTTAGTCATTATACTATATTTTGACCTTTGTGACTATTTTTACATAAAACTCTTATAAATGAATGCATCAAATTTTAAAACAATAGTACAGTATAGAAATCATCGAATGCTCAGGAAAATATATTCGAGTAAACAACTTTCAAGGCTGAAGGAAAAAAACCGTTATTTACCGAGTTTTTTTATTATCAAAGAAAAGGAAAAACTATATTTTAAATAGACTATCCAAGCAGACAAGTTATGTTCAAAAAATGTTTAACCGAAACAGTTTTTATAGTAAAAGCGTTAAATAGATGTTATTAACATTAAATATTTACTTTTATTAAATTAAAACATCTTGTATAATAACAATATTTTAAACGTTACAAGTGTCTTAAAAAGTTTTTACATTTTTAAAATGATTTTAAAAATATATTAAATTTTAAACATTTATTTTTTAGTTTATAAGTTTACTATACAATTTCTAACGTTTGTTAAATGTATTTTTTTTATTAAATATGGATATCTTTTATTAATTGTATTGGTTGGGAATGGATTTTAGAAGATATTATATATATTCAATTTGTGATAAAATTAGCAAGACACGGCATTGTCTCTCCATAACGTGGACTTTATTTCTTGCAGGTGGTCACAGTACTTTTTTCGGTTTTCTGAATACCTTTGTACACATCGTAATGTATTCGTATTATCTCTTGGCGGCGCTCGGACCGCAGATACAGCCATACCTGTGGTGGAAGAAATACTTAACCACTGTGCAAATGATCCAGTTTGTCCTTGTAATGGTCCACGCATTCCAATTACTTTTCATCGATTGCAATTACCCGAAGGCCTTCGTCTGGTGGATAGGCATGCACGCTATAATGTTCTATTTCCTCTTCCGCGACTTCTATAATGAAGCGTACAAGAAGAAGAATTCGAAAAACACTGTAGGCAAGCAAAAGAATGAAAAGGAACAGAACGTATCTAAAAATAAAAGAGACATCAAGGAAAACGACAGCGACAAGGGCGTGATATATGCAAACCAGTATAAAATGGCCACTGGTTATATCTCGGACAGCGGCCTCAGAAATCGCGTGTTCATCGACAATCGAGGCTTTGATGAATAATAAGAGAAGCTTCTAATTTAAAGAGACTTCAATTATACGTCGAGCGTACATTCGATTGCGAATCATCGTTATTTAAAGCACTTCGCCACATTGCACCACAGTCGCTGTCCTCATGGCGATCGAATAAAAGCGGCAAATAGACAGAGGATGTTAAAAAAAAAAGAAATGAAAAATGAGAGAAAAAGCGCGTTGAAGGCCTACCGGAATTTGTAAAAGTCTGGTCTTAGTGGCGTTCTTTCTGGGTGCTTTGCGGCGAAATTTTTTTACGTGTAAAGATTTTCTCGCGCTTTTTATGTATATTATATGTATAAACGGGTATACGTATGCGAATGTGTGTTTACTAATTTGTGTGCGGCTAATTTGTCGAGAAGCGAAAACAGACTGGATAAAGCGTTGAAATTGCCAAAATGATAAAAAATGTGTTACTCTTCCCAGTTAGGATATCGAAACGAAACTCATTCTCCGACAAATTGCCTTTTCCGGAAAGAGGAGCCCTTTAAAGGAATGATTTTTATATTTGTATAGACCCCTCAAGAATTATAATTCCGCATTTTGCTCATGTCTCCCTCTTTCAAAAATAGAATAGTAACGAATTCTTGCCGCGTTTCATATCAAGAGGATAAAGAAGAAAATACAATATTTATTTTATAGAAACAAAATATTTAATAAGAAATTATTATTATTATTTTAACGTTTCTCTCTCTCTAAAACATTATTATAATTAAAATATTGCTGTGAATTGTGTAAGCAATGATAATATGACACAAAATCCCAATAAGGCAGAAACAGAGAATTCGTTAATTAAAGTAAGGACTTACATGCATATTTACTGTTTGAAATAAGTATTTATTTATTATTATTTTATAATAAATTTTATTATTATTTGCATTAAATTTTTAGAATTAAAAAATATTTTATTTTCATCTCAAATCTTATTCTCTCAGAGAGCACTCCGTTTTTACTTTATATTTCGTTAGATATTCTAATTAATACTTTCATAAACACATAAACACATGTGATAAAATACATATGTATATACATTAATTTTAGAATTAATTATGTTAACATTATTTTTTTTTACAAGAAGCAACGTTTAATGTAAAACCTAAAATTTTTTCTCATCACGTTTTTTAAATAATAAATAATAAAATATAATAAAATGAAGTGTTATTTAACAACTTATAAATGTTTCTTTTGAACTTTTGCAGAAATCTACATTTTTTTATGATGTTCTCTCATCAACTTAATATAAAAATTTATAGCTACTGTTTAAATGATTTTGCCGGCATATAAAATCATTCGAGTTTTATAAAAGTATGTAATATTGTTCAATTTTTAATATCTAAAACTTTTTTTTATCAAAATAAAATTTTAATGATAAATTAAATTTTATTATATTATTAATATGAAAATACATCCTCATCTTTTACATTGAATCATTTTTCGAAATATTCTACATAATCTCATTTATCGTAAATATTGTATTATAATGTTGCAATATTATAGAATATTATAACATAATTAAATCGCGCTCGAATTTAATATTTAAAATAATATGTAAAAATGCATATTTTTATAATATTTAAAATATTCTTCTTGGATCTGGAACTCTCTATTGTTGATATTTTTTTTTAATTTTCTTTTCGATCACCTGTAGGTCAAGATGAATCGACTGCAGCTCGCGCAAAAGCATGCACATAGAGAACTATGTAACCAACGGATATTTCCGACAGATAACACATCCACGGTTTTCAACTTTATTCTGTCCTACATTGTTTAGTTCTATGCCGCGTTATGACTACAAAATATTTGTAATAAAAATTGTGTAATTATGCATTATAAAAAAAGATAATAATTAAAAATTAGAATAATTGAAGCCTAAATAAATATTAAAAATGTAAAAAAAATGTAATTTCCATTTTAATAGTGTTTCTATGCAAAACATATGCCAAAAAATAGGAAACAGAGAAAATCAAACACAATCCTATTGCTTAGGTATTTATTATAGAAAAATGTATAAGTAACTTTAACCCATTAAGGACCGCTGGTCGATTTTTCGGCCAAAAAAAATAGGTCAACTTTGGGTAAAAATTTTTGGCAAGTAAACTCCTGAGCATAGTAGCTTGCCATTAAAAAGATTTTAAATTTTGAGAAAAAAAATTTGTCTTGGTCCTTAATAGGTTAACTTGAATAGCATTATGACAGAATTATTGATCTATCTTTTGTTCATCACGTTATAAGTTACATTATAAAATAAATGTAAAAATTGACTTGTGTTTCACTGGGATCCAATTTTCTATACTCGTATAATACATATAACACATATAATAGTATAATTAATACAAAAAATTCTAGCTCATCAATTCGATGCGTAATGGGTGAAGTTACTCGAGGAATTACTCTACATGATACTGTAACACACAAATATAAATTCCAATTATGCTCTCAAAATAATCAACATTTCAAAAAATAATTCTTACGCGTATATATCAAATTTTTTATTACACTTTTAATTAGGTATTTACTATATTATACATTTGTCTTTCCTTTTACGTTCAACGTGGTTTTTTTTAAGAATCGCGTAAATGGAGTATAAAAAAATAAGTAAGAAAAAAGCCTGTGTGTGCTATAAAAATTTTATTTCATAAAATATTATACTCGTATATTTACACAAAAACAGTAATAAAAATTTAGAAAAAAACTGTGAGAAAACAAAGAGATTATTTACTCAATAAATTTTACTGCGTAAAAAAAATCGCGTATAAAAAATTACAGGTGATTGTAGAATATAATTATATATAAATTTCTATTTTCCGAAAAAAATCTTAGAAACAAAATTAAACTTTTATAATATTTTACATGGGTTCTGTTTCTTTAAGAGGTTACGCCACCTTGAAGGCTTCAAAAAAATTCGATTTTTTTTGCCTTAAATAATAGTCTTAAAAATAAAGTTTTAATAGTTAAAATTAAAAATTCATGTTTTTTTATCAAGTTTTGAGCCAGTTTAGTGAAGCGTGTCTATAGTGCCGACGAGCGATTCGGAGCAATTCGGAATATTTGAACTTGTAAGATAAAAAGAATTAGGTCGATGATGCTCCAAAACAAGCAATAAAGAAAACGATGAGGCAAACATTGATGTAGAAGAACAGTTGTATGATTCAGGCATTGCAGACTAAAGGTAAATTTAATATTTTACTACTAAATACACGAAATATCGCAAAGCAAAACTTCAAACGCGTTTATCTCGAAACTACATTTTCAAAGTTGGCGTTGCGCGGATCTCAGAAACTGTTCATCCGATTTATTTTAAATTTACACAGAATCTTCTTTTTGGTATAATCTAAAGAAATACATACGGATTTATGTTAAAAAAATTTTTTTTTATTAACATTTTTTTAACAAAATTTTTTGGCCAAAAATACAACTTTTTTTCAAAGATTGGCCATTTTCGTAAAAATCAATATTTCGAAATATCCATATGTATTTCTTTAGTACCTATTATGTAGAAAATAAAACTTTCTTCCTTTTTGTTCTAGGTTCAATCGAAAGTTAGATCCCCGCAACGCCGATTTGACAGTCGCAGCAAAACGATGTTCAATATAATGGCTGTAGTGTCGCCATTTTTTATTAAAAAAGAGATAAAAAATATATAATTTTATAGCTAAAGACTTGATTTATAAAAACCTTAAAACAAATTTTTCATCACTTTCATTGTTTTCCTTAAAAAAATTCTCAAAGTTACCTATGATTTTTAGGCGATCAAGGTGGCGTAACCCCTTAATTATTGATTTATCTAAATAAAAAACAGTTCAAAGAAGAAACTATTATTTTTATGCAAGTAAGAAACGATCACTCCAAGGTTGCTTCGTCGACGCCCGATGTCTTTCCTACATAGACCTTCTCCTCTCAAGATTTGGTTGTCATCTTCTCACAGGACACTCGCGAAAAACACTTGCGAATAAAGTACTACAACCGCGCGCGGACTAATTAATAAAAGTCGTTCGCACGACACAGTGACACTTCGCGTTTACAAAACCAGTGATAGAAATGGAAATCTTGAAAAATCTATTGGTCCAGTAATTTTAACGGCATTGCAGAAACAAACGTGCGACGCAACGAACCGGTTAAAATTTGACCATATGTAATTTACGATGAGGATATGTTATATAACTTCCCCGTCGTTGAATTTTTACACGAAGAGAATGATTTTGCACAACTATCTAACAATTTAGCTGAATATATAATTTAGATAGGTCCGAAAATTTTTAGATACTTGAAAAACCGTTCTTTTTGTGAATATCCTCGCGGGCGCCTCGACCTTATCAAGGTCAATCCCTGGGAGGGAAGATATCATTTAAAATATAACATACAATTATTGATCCGCTTTTAAACATGAATATCGAACACACGTCAATTCGTCAACACTGTTAAATAAATTCTGGACAGGTAGAAGACATGAGTCTCTTATTATAATATTTGTAAGATATAATTATAATATCAATTAAATAAAGGTGCATATAAAAGTTTTTTAATGTTTTGTAGGCCCTGTGTGCTACTTGGAAATGGGATCGATAAGTTAGATTGCTACTATGACAGCGAATTAATGTACTGCATTGTGCATAAGCTATATTCCAAAATTCACAACTGCTGAAAATCTATAGTGCACATTACGTAAATTATAGATTTTTAGCAATGAATTTTGGTACACAACCTAGAAGCACTAATGGATGGGAACCATCTAAAACACGGACATGCTTACTCTCAAGCTTCTTTCTCGTAGAAATTGACCAATAGCAGATAACGAATATTGTGTACATACAATTTATATATTTTATTTAACTGACAGACACACTACTGATAATAGAAAAAATTTTATATTTCTCTTCTATAAAAATTAATTGTCTAATATCATTATTTTCCTGTTACCAATTTTTTCGTTCCGTATTTTAAATTAAAAATTGATAATTTTTTTTTTATAATAATTTTTATATTTCAAAATATAAGGTGTATTTGGATACAATTAAACATTAACTAGATAATTCAGAATACATGTTTTCAAAATTAGTTCATATGACGTCTTAATGACATCTTTAAAACGTCTTATATTTTTTTTATGTTTACATCTCGATTTTGAACATACGTAAATCTCATTTATAATTAATTTTAATTAATATTGGTAGAATTCTATATGATGTATGTATAAAAATATTTTCTTCAATTTGTTATCCTTAGTTGCATATATTAGAGTATTGTATAGACTTCATTACGCAGACAGTAATTAATTTTTAAATAACTGTTTTAAATTTATAACACATCCTATTATTATTAAAAGTCCGCAGTTGAGTCTTGATCATATAAGGGAATTTTTAAAGAAAATTTGGTTAATAAAATACATGTAAACCTAGTCCAATAGTAATTATTATGTAAACCTAATTTAATAATAATTAATAACAGATAAATTAATACAGTAGCAATAAAAAATTATGTAATCAAAAAAGTGATCTTGCAGTTATAGCGAAAATTGTCTAAGTGTGAAAAATAGCTAAAATAGATAAATTTCTAGCAAGCACTGAGATATTGTATATGTATAACATCTAATCATATAGATGACAGAAATAGAATTTAGATTTGTGCTATAAATTCTATGCGTATACATAATTTTTCTATCAGATACAAAAAACA